TAGGCAAATATATATATATAGTATTCAGACAGAAATAGAGAGAGAATTTCCACATTCGGCAGGGATTAATACTTAATTAATACTTAGAAGACATTTCCGAATGGAATGGATATATTTAAACAAAACACAAATGGTTGAATGGGGTATATTGCGCTTATGACATCTTCGAGTTTCGAAACTTAAATGCTGTATATAGAAGGTATATGATCAATCTGACCAAATGGTGGAAGGAAGACGCTGCCATAAAACAAAAATCTCTATCTTCCCTGATCTGTGTAGTAATATATGTACATTAAATTTACTTACAGGGTATTTAATAGATATCCACATTATTTAAATGCAATTAGACCCCACATAAATTTAAATATTAATATGACAACAAACTAAATTCCATTAGAACATTAAAGTCTAAGAGTTTTACAGCACGTGGAAAAGCATCTATATATATCTATATAAGTATGTATATATGTATTCACAGATATATATCTACATGCGAGACGCATTATCGGATGGGTAACGCCCACTTGAATGGCAGAGCAACTAAAATATTTGTGCTGCGCGCTATTTGCAATCAGCTCTTGAGGAAGTCAACTCAAAGTCTTATCTTTCTCTATTTCTCCATTTGCACTTACCGCTGAGCTCTAGTCGGTATACCTATCTCTGTGTCTATATATTTGATGAATATATCTCTCGTATAGCACTGCACACACTATTTGCTTCAATCAAACTGTATTGTTTTGAACTTCTCTGGTCACTGTGAAGACTTTAGATTATTTTCATTTTGAGTGCAGTTAACTGGAAGTTCAGGGGATACGTATATATAAGCTTGATATATGCATACGTACATATATATACATATATAGGTATATAATGTTAAGCACGGTAGCCCATTGTCATTAGGTATGCAAAGCAAGCTTAACAGATAAATGTCTTTGATCCGCGGTTCTTTTTATAAGCTTGGGTTTTTTGTTGTTTACTTTGTTTTTTCCTTTTCGTTCTTGAAACTTGAAATTTGTGTTTGTTAACACTTGTGAATATCTGTTAAAAATACAACGAAATCTTTTTTGTATACTTAGGCACAACTTGAAATCCGAAATGGAAGATGTTTCACAATGCACTTATTTTGTATTTCTTTTATTCACATATCTCTATAGGCACTTTTTACGCTGGGAATTCCCGAGCATCACAAACCTCTAGTTCGTGTCAACCGGTTATTGTTATTATCATAGTTATTGAAGCAAGCAAAAAGCGCATACGATATTATTAATGAGCTAATGAGCAGCTCGATTAAAAAGTTTTTATTTTTAATTATCACGTCAATTTATTCCGCGGCACTTCCACGACGGTCGGCAAATGGAAGCAAACTGACTCGACATTCTGGACATCGGTTAGTTTCCGTCTGTTAAGCGTATCAGAGCTGTTGCTGTTAACGTGCCAACCATTAATGTTAATGCTAGGGCGATGTTAGGGCGCCTCCTCAGCGTAGTTAAGGAAAAGAGCAAACAGTAAGCAGTAGTTGATGGCATTTCGTATCTCTTCGGAGTATTTCCTCAAATATATACACTTCACTACACCTTGAGGCACAGCACGACTGATCCCCCCCCCAGGCTTGGGCCGCCCTTTATAAGGACTTTTACGACTTTTACTCAAAAACAAAGTCGCGCTCAACTATTGCGCCCGGCGCCAAGTAGGGGTCGCTACAGTCGATCAATGGGAAAACTCTCTGCTACTGTGAAGTATAAATACGAAATGAATATTAATGCTCACATATAGACAATTTGAATAATCTTCTGTACTTCTTCTTTGTCCACGCGCAGTAGTAAATGAGACTGAAGAGAATTTGCATTTAATACAATTCAATGTTATCTTAACAGAGAGAGAGAGAGTCGTCCAGCTTTTGTATATGCTTTAAAGCTACAGGAGCGTGACAGATTATAAGAGAATTTGCAGCCGAACTGCAATATAAGTTACAGTTCAATGTTATCTTAACAGCCAGAGAGTCCTCGCGGTTCTCTATGCATACATATACACACATACATACTCATGTCAAGAACTGCGCCTGCGCAGCGTATTTAGACTTGTTGGTGGGAGCTTGTCGGCTCTTCACATTCACCTTGTTCGCACGTATGCGAAAAACAAAAGCCAAATGGCAATTGATAGACGCTCGCCAGCAGCTCGCACCAGCCGCAAATGTAAACAAACTGTCAAGTGATCAATGAATATGAATTTGAATGCTGTGAGTGGTCAAGTGGTCAACCAACTACCGCACCTGCTGTTGATTGGCTCTCCCTCTCTTTCCCTCTCTCTCTCTCTATGTCTCTCTTTCTGTCTGCCTGCTTTTGGCCTAAGGGCAACTATTTGAAGCTGTGATTCAAAGTGTTTTTGAAATTTGTGTATTTATCGTTTTAATTGACCTGTTGCTGGCAATTTAATTATTCAATTAGCCAGCTAGAGCTGACAGCAAAAGCTCGCTTTCTATGTGAGTCAAAGATCGAAAGCTTTCAGCGCGCGCTCCCTGCACACGCCATAGGAGAGATAAAAACAATAACTGTAACTCCGACAAGTGAATCGCATGTGTACAGTGGGTGGCATTATGTGATGAATAATAGCCTTGTCTTATATATTTAATTGCGCCTAGCCATAAATCAATTAGCATACAATGCCTATTATTGGATTAGCTACATGAAAAATAGGCTGTTATAAATTATAGTAAGAGCGACATGTATGTATATTATACTATTAGTTGACGGAGAAGTTGAAGCATATAAAAATATAAAATCTGTATAATTGCATATTGTTGACAGATGTCAACATCGGCAGTGCAAAAGTTCGCTTTTCTCTTCTACGCAGCAAACAGTCATCAATGTCAGAGCGAAGAAGAAGTGCCAAATGCAGTTAGGTTTGAGAGATAACACCATCATCTCATTCCTAATGAACGTATTGAATGATATGCATATGTTTACACACATGCAAACTTGTTGTATGTGTGTATGTATATTCTCATATGCTATAGTCATAGCGTCGTAAGACACGTAGGGCTGCAGCTTTGGCTAAAATAGGGAAATAAATTCGCCTTGTGGCAGGGATCGTACGTGTTTATCGTCAGCTTTTTGTATGGAAAACAGACGACAAGAGCCATTATTATTTATTTATGATATAATATGCTTAGACGATAAAAAATGTCGATAGATGATGAGAAATCGAATCAGTGGAAACACCCAATATATAATTGCGAAATTAATATTGTTTTACAAAATATGTTTTAGAGCTTTGCAAGCGCAAACATACGTATAAGCAAATGCCGATTGCCAATTAATTTTTGATGGCTTTGAAAACAACTGAACGCACTTTAATGCATGTACGTATGTACATTCAGATATAGACTTATAGCTATGTATGCTCATATATGTATTAATAAGCCCATCAAGTGTGCGAAACGTGCCTCGCCCGACCGACCACCATCCAACCATCCAACCATCCAGCCTTCCAGGCGGATAAGCTATAAATAGATAGCGGCTGCAGCTTATATTCCAGGGTATTCCTGAACGTTGCTCAGAGTGAGAGTGACAGTAGAGAAAGAGGAAGAGCGAGAAGGAGAGGGGGAACGGTAGCGAAGAGTGTTATGCAAACTGGTTTCACGCTTAACATTGAGCTGCGACTACATCCAATTCAATTGCTAAAGAAACCGCCGAAAACACACAAAAAATCAATTTAAAGTTGTGGGCACAAAATATAATCGTCAACCCGGCATCCAAGGCTCTTTGCCATTGAAGATTACAATGCCCGATGCCAAATGAAAGACAAGAAACAAGACGCTGACTGACCTTGGCACTCTCTCGTTCCTTCTCTCTGCAGCTGGAGAGGCAGACGATTAACTTAATTTCCGCACAGATACCCAAATATTTATCGGAGTCAACGTTAAAGCGATCTCACTTTGCCACAAATATTTAAACAGGTCAATTAAAAAGGCATCCACTTTAATTTAACAACGCGCTCAACTTTGATTATCTTTAAACTTTGATGGTTTGAACTCAACGGACTTTTCTTTTAATTAAAATTTTGTCGTGTGGTTTGTTTATTTAACCGCAACCAAACTTCTTGTTTGGCCAATTCGCTGCGACTGAGCGTATTAAGCGACGTCTGTTAACTAGTGAAGACTGTGAACTAACAGCAACAGACTGCTGTTAACACACAAAGCTGTGGGCGCGCGCTGCTAAGACTGCACACAAAACCTGTTTGCTATAAAATCTAAATTATAAGAGACAGTACACACAAAAGCTTTTTCTTCTTCAGTTAACATCTAATATAAAAAGCTTCGAATTAAATTTAAATTATTTTGGCTAGGTGTGCCATATTGTATTAATGAAGGCTTTCATTAATGCAAACCTAATTAATGATTATCTTACTCTGCGGCATATAATTATCTTGGGCTAGCCAAACAGCAAAAGGCGTGGCTCAAAGCCAAAGGTGCAGCTATGAGATTACCTTATTCAACAATGATATTAACAAGAGTATGTATTAACTCGAAGTTCTATGTTCTTGACTTAATGAATTAAAAAACATATGCCAATTTGGCTTAATTTATGAAGAACGTAAAAGGAATTCATACGAAAATTGGACTACAATGTAATAAATATTATTATGCTCGATAACAAAAATAAAATATTATGTTTTATTTCCATTTCTTTTCATATTTCTGTTACACAGTCAGTAACAGCCTATCGCTCACAAAGCTAAATGATATGAAATCTTATACAAAAATGTACCCCGTTGTATCGCTAACAGCAGAGAGGCACAGTCTAGTTATCGATATATTGCGCAGATCGTTTTGTGTTCAAAATAGTTCAAAACGGCGATGAAAAATATTCAATTCAAGTATAAATAGCTCACGATTCCAACAAAAACAATGAGAATTCTTTACAATTGCGAGTATATTAAACAGAACACAGACACAGAGCTGTAAATTTAATGTTTATGTTAATGTTACGTGAGTTGAACGACCCAGGTTTAATACTTCACTTAAAGTGGCTTGGCGGCACTTGGGACTGCTGATCCGACTTTCGACGCATGGCCCATGCTAATCGAAGTGCTCCGATTGAGTTGATCAGCCTGGGGCCTGAAAGTAAATGCTTCTATATCAAATGCTGAATGGAAAACTGAGAATCGTGTTAGGTTTCAGTTGCTTTGTGTGGGTGTTACTTAATCCTAAAGGTCATGCTGACATACAATATACCAAAGACACATTACCAGTACAGTTTTACAGTGCAACCAAGCTAAGTGCGAATGAAACGAGTCACAAAAGAAGACACAGGGGAAAATGCAAAAGGTAAAGGGATCAACGCAACAAGCAAACAATCAAATTAGTGCAAACGAAATTTAAGTAAAAAACACCAAGATGTTATTTATGAATCCAATTGAAACACTTTTGTTTTCTTTTACCTAATTCAAGATTTGTGGACCGATCTTATTGGCACCTCCATTCCGATCTTGGAGAGCAATTTCCTCTTCAGAGTCGCTGGCATCGTCTTCAATGCCCCGAATTCTTTTACCATAGAATAATGAGCCCAGTTACAAATGTGAAAAAAGACGCATCTCACGCTCATATATATCTTACGCTCTCTCCCTCTCTTTGAATACTTACCGATTTGAGATGAGCTTCAGAACACTTCGCTTCAACACAAACATTATGAATATTATGACGCCTTGCGCACTATTGATGTAATCGAAGACCTGCAATACCGAGAACACTGGCTTGTTGTCCTGCACTAAGTATACGACTATTTCGAAAGTCCAGGTAACGCCCATGATAACGAAGAGGCGCACGAACAGAATATACCTGC